GCATAGGAATCTCCCTGTGATTTAAAGCAGGCAGTCGCGAAGCAATACCAGATATACAATATTTTTGAAAGCATACAGAATGCATACAAGACAGCGTGTCTGCAGGTGTTCAAATTCAAATAGACATCGGGTGCCGGTGTGCTTGCAGAGAACTACAGCATATGATGTGTCAGTGTGCTTAAATGGTTCAGTGGAAAGACAGCGTGTGTGCACGTGTTCAAATTCAAACAGACATCGGGTGCCGGTGTGCTTGTAGAGAACTACAGCATATGATGTGTCAGTGTGCTTGAATGGTTCAGTGGAAAGACAACGTGTGTGCACGTGTTCAAATTCAAACAGACATCGGGTGCAGGTGTGCTCACAGTGAACTACAGCATCTGATGTATCGATGTGTTCAAGTGGTTCAGTGAGAAGACAGCGTGTGTGCACGTGTTCAAATTCAAACAGATATCGGGTGCGGGTGTGCTCGCAGTGAACTACAGTATCTGATGTATCGGTGTGTTCAAGTGGTTCAGTGAGAAGACGGCGTGTGTGTATGTGTTCAAAGATCAAACAGATATCGAGTGTAGGTGTGTTCACAGTGGACCACAGGATACGATTTACCAATGTATCTGAGTTAAGCAGTTAAAGAACAATATCGACTAGCACAGTTATATGTTCTACATTAAAGAAAATGAAACGGGGAAGAGTGTACCTCAGAAGTGCCGTATGACAGATGTGACTCTGGCTCACGCAGTAGAAGCCCCAGTGGCGCGCCTCGCGCGTAGCTCCGGAAGTGGCGGAGGCTGTCAGGAGGGAGCACATGCACCGCCGGCCTGTAGGTCGCCGGATCGAACGGTCGGACACGGAGAGGGAGAAGCTCGACCTTAGGGTCCGCGTCCATCTGCGGGGAAGCCCCGCCCTGTGGAAGATCGTCTGCCATGTCGAGTAGGGTGCAAAAATGGCCGGAAATGTGAAAATCGAGCGAGAATGTGAAAAGTCAACTAAAAAGTCAACCCCGAGAGAGCGGAAAATGGGCAGAAAAGTCAGAGTGCGGAAAAGGCATGAGAATCAAGGTAAACTTGAGGGAAACAAACCCCGAGTGGTGGAAATCGAGAAAGCGACACCGAATTTGAGATTTGTTCGGTTCAAAATGTTCGAAATGCGAAAGAGTTCGTGAATCGAACGATGAAATGGGCCCGAAAACCAAGGAAAATGGGGATCAAAAGGAGGAAAATAACCTAGAGAGAAGGGGGAGAGATTTTCAACTAAGAGGCAAGTGAAAAGAATAGGGTTTAAGCCTAAGAGGCAATTTGCTTTGAGGGTTGGTTAGCTTTAGGTTGTGTTTAAGCTTGAGATAGAGTTTATGCTCAATGGCTTTAACTCTCTTTTGAGGGTTCCTCCTAGCCAAAGGCATGAATTCTCTCATGTCTTGAACCATCCTTTGTTTGACCCCTCTCTCATTAGAGGACAATCACATTGGACTTAATCGGTAATGTAAAATGTGTAAACAAGAATTGAGTAAAGTAAAACATGTAAGATAAACATATTTGTGTTGCATTGCATGTGTTTGGATCGGACGTTAATCCAAACACAAGAAATGTGGGACGTTTCATACTCAAAGTGATGAAACGTGTCACGTTTCTTGTCGCCGACACTCTTGATCATGCATGATAGGGTAGAGACTCTTTGAGTCTTATGTGTGCATTCATCTAGCTTGTACAAGCTTGGTTCTTTGGCCACCATACATTGAAAGTGCTTCGTTGTTGGCTTGAGAGCCAAGTGCTACACTCCTTTGAGCTTGAAAAATGAGAAGGAGTGCAGTAGTACACACATTTCCTTGCAAATACACTGCTTTGCCTCTGTTTTCTCTCTGTTGCAGTGAAGGGAGGAAGTTCAGGAGATCAATGGCCGACTGACCGCATGTACTAGCCAACCGGCCACCAAAGCCAGCCGACCGGCCATCAGTAGTGGCCTATGGCCACCAATCATGGTTGATCAACCATCAGTGTGTTCTTGAGATCAAACAGAAGCAGTCTGGAAGTTGGCATAATTTTCAAAGGTTCAAAGATATGCAAACAGAGGCATCTAGAGGCAAGGTGGTGGATTTTCGGGAGGAAGCTTACCGAGCATGCATGCATCCCTCGCTCCCCGAGGCCATTCATTTAAATTGCTTAGCTAATTAGTTCATTAGCTTAGTCTTTTTGTGATTAATTAGTTAAGTGTTTAATTAATTCATTCGGTTTGTAATTAATTAGCTTAGATTAGCTAGTTATTCAATTTCAATTGTGTTGTAGTTAATTAGCTAGAATAGTTGATTAGTTGATTTGTAATAAGTAGCTTAGCTTATTTATTCGGACCCTCCTTCGAGAGGGCACAATGTTATAATAAGGGTGCGTGTGTGTGTGCATGTCTTCTAATCCCACGTCTTTTTCCCTTTTATTTACCTGCTTTCAGTGGTTAGATTAGGGCACGTTTTGATTATCATACCTTATGCTCACATGTTTGCATCATTTATTTGTATTACATACACCAGGCTCAGCACATCATTCAAACTGCATTGTATTTCAATACTTATTTGAATACGTGCATCAAATTGTTGCATTCATATGCCATCTTAGATAGCCGAGCCTATTTAGTTGCATACTACATGTGTTGCATTAGGCATCTTGACATAGTTAGGATCATGCATATTTCTAACTAACTTATGTTTTGGCTCGGAGTACATTGTAAGTGTTACGCTTTAGCATACTTGCATGAGTGTGAGTGTTGCCATGATCGCATGCTTGCCATAAGGCTATTTACTTAAGTGATTAACTGCTTGAATGCCTGTGGGTGAAGGCTTTATTTCCTGAATTAGGACAACTCGATGATTGTGAGTTTTAAGCCAACTTTGCGAAGTGGCAAAAATCATGTTTTGAAGCCCACTTGAGGGTGGCAAATCCGTGCTTTAGCCCGCTTGCGAGTGGCACTTTCAAACCATTTTCGAAAACAAACATGAGTTGTTTTGTTCCAATTCTCATGATTTAGTCTATACTTGTATGTGTGCATCATATAGTAAAGTTAGCTAAATAATCAAAATGAGAACACATGAAGTTTATAAAACAACATATCATGATAGTAGAGGCCGATCTTTGATCGGGCGAGCAGGGGTGCTGATTTTTGGACCTTCCCCTCTCGGACCCAAGTTCCCGAGCCAATGCAACTTTGGTGATGACGGATACGTGGCCTTTGGCACGAGTCAGGGTTTCCTAAATTTTTCAAAAAATAAAATATTTAGGTGGCAACTCTGTAATCTAGCAAAACAATCCATGTTTGGCACTTTTTGATTCAAAATTGATTTTCCAAAACCAATTGCTAGATTTGGACTCTTTGGTGTTTATCAGTTTCACATTGCACTTTGTGAGATTAGATTCAGAACTGTGACAGGAGTCCGAATTGTAGTAAGGCCAATTCGCGCCTTCTCCAAAAGGGGGGCGCGCAAAGGAAGTCGGGTCTACCGTTTCTGGCGACTCTGCTGGGGACTTAGAGAACTTGATTCGAACTCATGATATGCTGTTTTATCTACACTTATGTGTTTCTTTGCATTGCATTTGTATTGGTGCACCTAAGTCACAATGTTTGCCATCTATTATTTCTGAACGGTTTGTCGGAGGCGTGCTTAGAAAAATGTGCCACAAGGCTGACCGGTTACGGGCTCTACCATGATGGGAACACAAACCTTGGATTGGGATCACCGCCAAGGCACCCTTTTTGACCAATCGACCTAGTTGCATATCGGAAGCCATAAAGACTGTTCCAAACTAGGACAGGTTGCTCACCCAAATGCAGGATTGTATGAAACCGCATACGTGTGTAGTGAACCCCTAGCTCCTGACGAAACTAGGATAAGGTAACCCTACCCCACCATAGGGGTGTTTTGGCTCTCTTTAATTAGTATGTGCTTTGCAGTGAAACTGTACAGGGATGTGCATATCAGTTGCGAGTTTGGTATCTGATTTTGGGGTAGAAATCAGTCAAGAGTACAGTCATTCAGCTATGCTCATATCCATTCCAGTGAAATCAGGCTGAGATGCTGTCTGTTTTCTCTTTTGCTAGGTAGTCTTGGAACCATAGTTTCAGAAGGCTCCAATATCCCCCGGGTACTCTGGATTTGTATCGATAGACTTTGTCAGGTCGGAATTGGTTCAGAAGCAACCTGTGTTTACCTCACACCCCACCGGTTACAAGATAAAAGAGGTTCAAACAGAATTCACCAGTGTAATTTCTACAGCAGTCACCCCTCAGTTCACTCGGGTCTAGTCTGGTTTGGGAATAGTTGTCTGCATTCAGCTCAGCACGAGATCAATCACCCATTCCCATGGCTTAATATCCCCCAGCCAGTGTGGAAGAACAGATATAGCACCTGCAATAGACAATCGAGGCACTGCAGCAGGACGCAGTCCATCAGGCTGAAGTCACGGCTCATCAGGGCGAAGTGATAACCCGGCTACAACAACAACAATAGCCACAGCTGGCTGCGGCTTCTACATCTCATGCACCTCCCACGGGTAACCCGACACTCAGAGCCACTGCCCATGCTACTAATGTCCAAGAGACTCAGGGTAATCCGACAGAGCCAATCCCAGAGCAAGCCTCTAAAGTTCCTATCTATCAGGCTAAAGCTCTGTTCGAATTTGAGGTTGACCCAACTGCACTTAAGGTCAATAAACTGGAGAAGTTATTCAAACGAGCACAAGGAGTAAACTCCATCCCGGATTTAGAGAACGGGTATATCGAATCTGCAGTTACCTTACCGGAGTGGTTTAAAATGTCGCATATCGACCGCTTCAATGGCTCTGGAGACCCAATGGTGCATCTCCGCCTATTTCTGATATCCTAAGGCCAATGGGCTTGACCCCAGCCCAGAAGTTGTCTCTCTTCGGTCGAACCATGTCTGGGATAGCCGTAATCTGATATGCTCAATTACTCTGTTGTTAGAAGCTTTATGACTAAAATAATAGCATTAGCTTTTGTCATAGATGACATTTATGATGTGTATGGTACCCCTGAAGAACTTCAATTATTTACAGATGCAATAGAAAGGTATGTGTGCAATTTTAATCCATCTAATACTTGTAAACTTGTATATTAGTGCCAATAAAAATTACATTTGTGCTGGCCACTTCTCGATAAGTATCAGTTCATAGCAGCTTAATCACAAGCTAATTTACAACCAATATGGCTATTTCATAGTTGATCATTACACTTGGTTCAACTGCTTGCAACTGATGGCTTTAAAATTCTCACCCATGACACTAGATTTTTATATATATCACTTGATACTTCTGACACTGTTACACCGCGATTGAAATTGATACATCTTCTTCAGATTAAAAACATGACATCACTAATTTCATAGATGGGAAGAAGCAACTATCAGTGATTTACCTGAATACATGCAAGTTTGCTTCGAGGCACTCTCAAATGTCATGAAGGAAATGGAGGACAAGATAACGGCCCACGAGGGGAGATCCTGCCACATATACTATGCAAAAGAAGCAGTAAGTAATTAAAATTTTCTCTCATCCAAACAAGACTATCTTTAACTTAGTTTTTCAGCGTAATAACTATCTAACACTTACATTTGTGTGGTTTTCTTCAGATGAAAGGTCTAGTTAGAGCCTGCTTTGTGGAAGCAAACTGGTTTAGCACCAAGTATATGCCTACGATTGAGGAGTGCTTGAGCATTTCTGTGATGAGCAGTGGTTATCCTACGCTTGTTGTTCAATCCCTTATTGGCATTGGAAAGATTGCAACTAAGGAAGCCTTTGATTGGGTGCTTAATTTTGCAAAATTGTGAAGTCTTGTGCACTAATTGCTAGGCTGGTTGATGACATCCAAATCCATAAGGTACCTCACAATATATTGAGGTTAAATAATGATTTTTAAATATCATCCTATGTTCATAACCTATATAACCAGTTTGACTGTTATAAAACTATTTTTTGCAAATGATTTTAAAAATTTTACTACCATGATACCCAATTTCCAATATGTATCGATTTATATTCTCGATATTATTATGCTACAAGTGATGTAGTTACGTTTCTTAATGTCTAACTCAAATATGAGTTCAGATCTTCTATCAATGTCTTTTTATATCGTTCATCTGAAGACATCTTTGTATAACACAATTGATCTCTCTAACCTTGTCATGTGGTAGAGAGAAAAGAAGAGAGCATAAGAGCTTTGGACAAAAGATTCCTAACGGAATACAATAGGACAATATTTCTTTTGACCCAAATATTGTTAACACTAAAAATGTGTTTGGCTCGTGGAAATCTAACGATTTTTTGTAAGGTTTCATTAAATCCTAAGAGTTTGTAATATCATATCGTGTATCATGTTGTATTATTATGAGATTGAAGAGAGATGTGTACCCGAATCCATTATGACAGTTGAGTGGAAGCATGATTACGGGATTGCCTTCCAATCCTTTCCTTCCTTCAATGCAGTTTAATCTCTCCTTGAGAGGATATGGAGAATGTGATTTCCTTTTGTATATATAGGCGGGATTGGGGACCATTACCCCTAAAAGTTGATCGTTTTCAATCTAACAGTTGTAGGCAGTTAAAAACTATTATAATTTCTATTTCTGCTCCTCATAGAAATAGAAATGACACAATGGTATCTACACATTAATTCCATGGCAATCATACCCTTAAGCCTACTTATAACTAAATTAGATCACTTAAGTTTTAGGCTTCTTAAATAATAACACATTTAAATATGTTGTCCCAATTAGAAATTAATCCAACAATCTCCCACTGGACCACATATGTCACTTGATAAATTTGTTTAACTTTAGTGAGCTCAGAAATTTGTTATCATGACCTGAGGGTATCTAAACAATCTTGTCCATTAACTATATTGATATAGGATCAAAGCGATCTTTGTCACATTAATTGTAACTTGACCCATCAATGGTCACGTATACCAACACAACCAAATGACATAGATCAATCATGGATGCATAGCATGTAAATTACATATAATGAGATCCACACATGCTTATTTCCAACTGGTCCTACTTAACTTTATTGAGATCAATACTTCAAAATACATAACAGAGTGTAATAAACTGAATACTTCATATCTGCAGAAACCAATCCAAGTACATAGATAAAACTCAAGTCTAACATAAACCAATAATACAAAAATACAAATACAAACTCCCACTGAACTTGTGATGCACACATTCATCAATGACATTTGTTTCAAAGCCATACGAAGTAATAACTTGATGAAATTTGAAGTACCACTGATGAGAAGCTTGTTTGAGTCTATAAATGGATTTGGTCAATTTGAATACCATATTCTTTGGGTCTCCCGACACAAAGTTTTCTGGTTGCACAATATAAATTGTTTCTTCAATGTCACCATTGAGAAATGCTCTTTTGACATCCATCTGATGCAACTCAAGGTTAAAATGTGCAACAAGCACCATAATTGTCCTAAAAGAGTCTTTCGTTGAAACCAGAGAGAAAGTTTCTTTAAAGTAAATTCCTTCCTTTTGAGTAAAGTATTTGGCTACAAGACGTGCCTTATACCTCTCCACATTACCATTTGAATCTCTTTTGGTTTTAAATATCCATTTACAACCTACGGGCTTCACGCCAATTGGTAATGGGACAAGTTCCCAAAATTTATTGTCTTGCATAGACTTGTACTCTTCATTTATGGCTTCTATCCATTTATGAGAGTTGGAACTTTGCATGGCTTGACGAAATTTGATTGGATCATCTTTCGACATTTCGTTTTCTGCCTCATGTTCCTGGAGATATACGATATAATCATCTGAAATTGCAAATCTCCGTTCTCTCATGGATCACCTTAATGGCATAGGTTCTTGAGGTTGTTGAGTTTGTTCCTTAGGAACAATTACCTCATCTGGAATGAGGGGTTGAACAACATTGTCTGGTTGACGATCCAAATTTACTTCTTGCACAATGACAAGTATGGAATCCTGCACTTGGTCAAAAGTAGTAGTAGGAATTGGGATTGCTCCCTCTTCCTCCTCAAAAACAATGTCTCTAACTGGATTTCTCCCCCTAAACTCAACATCCTCAAAAAATGTTGCAGTTCCCATCTCAAATATTGATCTACTTATGGGATCATAAAACTTGAAGCCCCTTGATCGCTCAGCATAGCCAATAAAGTAGTTGTTGACGGTTTTGGAGTGCAATTTTCTTTCATGAGGTTTATAAGGCCTTGCCTCAACAAGACACCCCCGCACATGCAAATGCCTTAGACTAGGCTTTCGCCCAACCCAAAGCTCATAAGGTGTTTTTGTAGCTGCTTTATTTGGTACTCAATTTAAGATATAAGTTGTTGTCTTCAGAGCCTCACCCCAGAGGGACTCTGGTAAAGTAGAATAACTAATCATACTTCTTACCATATCCTTAAGAGCCCGGTTTTGTTTCTAAGATACACTGTTCATGCTAGGTGATCCTGGTATGGCATATTGTGTGACGATTCCACATTCCTCTAGGTATTTAGGAAACGGTCCAGGACGTTGTTCACTTGATCTATCATATCTGCCATAGTATTCACCACCATGGTCAGACTTGACACTCTTTGTTTGTTTGTTGAGTTGTAACTCAACTTCGACCTTAAACTTTTTGAATACTTCCAAAGACTGTGATTTCTCATGTATAAGAAATAGATACCGATATCTGGAGTAGTTGTCTATGAATGTTATAAAATATTGTTGACCATTCCAAGATGCCGTAGGGAATGGCCCACATATATCCGTATGAATTAATTTTGAGACGTCTGTAGTTCGATTGGCACCTAACTTCTTCATTTTGGTATGTTTTCCCTTTATACACTCAACACAGACATCAAAGTCTGAAAAATCAAGAGAGTCCAAAATCCCATCAGACACAAGTCGTTCAACTCTAGATTCAAAGATGTGACCTAGCCATTTGTGCCATAATGAGGCTAAATTTTTCTTATTTAATTTACACTTCGTACCTCATGATTCCACTTGCAAGTTTCGTTATAAGATGAAATAGTTTCCAGCAAATATAGATTATCAAAAACATTAAGTAAACCAGTACGAACAACATTTGAATTAATAGGCAAACTAAACTGCTTATTTCCAAAAGAACAACAATATCTAAATTTGTCCAACACAGAAATAGAAACTAAATTTTGTTTAAAGGATGGAACAACAAAAGTGTCTTTTAAATCCAAATAGTAACCAGCCTTAAGTAATAATCTAAAGTGCTCTATTGCCTTCACTTCCACTGACTTTCCATCACCTACAAAGATATGTCTTTCAGCATTAGTTGGCTTTCGATAGTTCAAGCAACCCTGCATAGAAACACAAATGTAAGTATTAGCACCAGAATCTAGCCACCACGTGTTTCTTGGTGCTGAAGCTAAATTTATCTTAGAACAGACTAAAATAGAAAAAGTACCTTTCTTTACACGCTAGGCGGCATATTGGCACAATCCTTCTTCTTGTGTCTGGCCTTGCCACAAAAGAAACAACCATCCTCTTTTTTCTGTTTCTTTGGCTCTGGACCCTTAGGAGCAGCAACTTCTTTTCCCTTATACGTCCTCTTGCTTGTATTCTTTGAGGTGCTAGCCAGATGAGCATTTTCGGTCCTGCCTTACTTCAATCTCCCTTCTTCTTGCACACAAAATGACATGAGCTCATTGAGAGTCCATTTCTCCTTCTAACAATTGTAACTAACCTTAAATTGGTTAAATTGTGCATGAAGAGAGATAAGAACTAAATGCACAAGCAAATCATCAGATAGGTCGAGCTTTAGTGCCTTAAGCTTTGAAGCAAGATGAGACATTTCCATGATGTACTCTCAAACATTACCATTGCCCTTATACTTCATTGAAATCAAGCTTGCTAGAAGCGTGCTTGTTTCAGCCTTATCGTTTTTAGCAAAACACTTCTGAATTTTTGAAAGAAATAGACTGGCAATGGTAACATCATCTGTTATTGCACCCCTGAAAACTTCTGGAATCCCGCGCTTCATGATCATAAGACTTAGCCTGTTGGAACGATCCAACTTTTCAAAGTACACAATTTCCTCAGGAGTACTTTGTTCAGTGAGATCATTTGATTTTGGCATTCTTAATGCCAAGTCTATGTCTATGCAGCCAAGAACAATTAATATGTTCTCTTTTTAGTCCTTAAAGTTTGTTCCATTTAACATTGGAACATTGTTCATGTTGGCAGGGATTGAAGTAGTCGACATTAAAGCTGAATAGAGAATAAAATAAAACGAATAAACAATCATGCTCACATCAAATAACCAAATAAATAGTCTCTAAATCAAATAATTTTATGACAACATCTGAAGATACCTAACACAACATTAATACCAAACGTTTGGGCAGTGATATTAACTGTAAGTGGTATTCTTGTTGCAATGATTAAACATTGACAATAAGGTATGTCAAATAACAAATCTATCTTTTGATGGACTTATTATTCACATTAGGTTACCTTGATAATTGGCACATGTTTATCGCCACAAATGTGTGTGTAATTCTGCCAAGTATTAATCCTATCTTTGGACCGGTTAATTCCCACATGACGTACACATACATGAACATCCAAACATTCCATATAAAACAATTTAGACAAGAGAGGTAGTTTTGGTGACATCTTGTCTTAATTGACTTATATTTAGAATGTTAGACAGTTGCATGAAATTATTTAAATTGAAATTGAAGACTCTTTAATTCGTTAATCGTATATAATATGTATATATAACTGTAAGCAAAGTATTGCATTCACAATTTCTTTAAAAGCAAGGGATTTTGCTATAT